AAGAGAGATTATCAAAATTAGTGCTATATGATTTAAAAATAAATAAACTAGCAGTAAGAAGACTGCTAGATGATTCCCTTATTCAAAAGGGGGAATTTGAGTGATTAACAAAACCACAGAAAGCTCAGCTTTCCCACATACCATGGCTGATATTTATCATCGTTGCTTCCCAATTGCTCTTTTCTCTAGGGATGCAATCCTTAATTCATTCAGTTTTAGAGAAGATCAAGTTGGCATAATTGTCAGCCAGATGCATTCCAGTCTTTTCCGTGCTGGTTTTGTTTATCCAGACATGACTGAACAGGCAGCATGCTACTGAGCTATTTAAGTGATGCATGTTGCCAATTAAATACTACCTGTTTAGATGTTCAACACAATGCATTTCTTAAAGATAAGTGTGAGTGTGTAATTGCTGGCAGACACTTACTTTACTTAGAAGATCCCTCGTTGTCCGAGTATGATGGCCTTCCAAGTGCAGTGTCTTGATAGTGGATACCTAGGTGGCTGTGGAGTCCCATTCTTGGCCCGTATGTTCTTCCAAAGCCTTCCAGGGATTTTGGACTTCAACTCCCACAATTCCTAACACCCTCAGGCCCCTTCCTTTCGCCCCTCAGCCTCTTAAGGGGAAAAGGAAGGGCCCTGAGGCTGATAGGAACTGTGGGAGTTGAAGTCCAAAATCGCCGGAGGGCTGAAGTTTGCCCATGTCTGTTCTAACACCTCTAGGGAATTTTCATAGTTCATACTATGTCTTGTGTGAATTCAACTTGGAAGGGAGTCACTTCTGTTTTTCCTTCTGTTCCCTCCACACCTGATTCTTGGTCTGAACCAAGCAGGCAGAAACTGCTGGTTTGGTGAGGCACCAGTAATCTCTGGCAGTGTGCTGGCCAGAGATTACTGGTTCTTACTTTGCTAGTTTGTATGAATTTATTTAAGCCATGCTTTTTGTATTTAGGTAGCTTCCCCAAGTTGCAGTCATAGGGCCAGCAACCTGGCAATCATCGTTAGTCTTTAGACCCAACCCTTTTCCCAGGGTTTTGGAGGCAAAGGAGGACATTTGTTCAGTCTCACTGTTTGAAGCCTAACAGCAGGACGTGTGGGATTCTCTTTCCCACCTCTCACAGCTCTGCTGGGGGAGTAAAGGAATAGTTTCACAGCTTTTGCTGGGGGAATACAGCCAGCCTTTGCTGGGACAACAGGACAGTTCCTACAGTCTTTGTGGAGTAATCTAAAAGACACCTTTCAGCTTGGCAGATCTACAGAAATCTTGTCTGGTAAGGAACCACTCAGGCTATCTATAAAGAGGGCTTGGAGCCGGGAGTAGGGGCCTCACACCAGCAAGGTAAAGAAAGATTGTCAGGGAGGGGTCAGAAGATTTCCCTAAGGAAGAAAGGAACAGTTTACCACCAGTTGTCTGTCCTTGAAAGCAGATTGAGGAAGCTACCGGTTTTCCAAGGTTATAAAGCATTTAATTCATTTGTTTGAAGATTTAAGCCCAAATAAAGAACTTGGTTGAACTTACTTTGAGCCTCTATAGAACTTTTGTTGGGAAATCTAAGGGGCCCTTCAGCTGAGGCACCCCAGCGTCCCGTTGGACATACAGAAAGCACGTCCTGCAAACAGACTTTATTTCAGGCCCAGCGTGCGACAGCACAGGCAGAGAAGGCTGAAAAAAGCCAAAACCAAAGAGAGAAAGTGGAGAATAAGAGAAAAACGAGGACATTTTAGAAGCAGCTGAAAAATTAGAGACATGTTCATGCCAAATCAACAGTTGAGGGTATGCACCATTTGTAATGCAATTTTTATTTATTTAATGTGTCAGAGTTGTATTGTATTAAAACACACACACACAAAGTTTTCAAACTTGGCATTCTATTAAGTGTCCTTTGACCAGTAGCTGGCCACGTGGAGTGTTGCTATAAGAAGGTCCTCCATTTTGCATGTGGCAGGCTCAGGTTGCATTGAAGTAGGTGGTCAGTGGTTTGCTCTTCTCTACACTCGCATATTGTGGAGTCCACTTTGTAGCCCCATTTCTTAAGGTTGGCTGTGCATCTCGTAGTGCCAGAGTGCAGTCTGTTCAGCGCCTTCCAAGTTGCCCAGTTTTCAGTGTGCCCAGGAGGGAGTCTCTCATTCAGTATCAGCCATTGATTCAGGTTCTGGCTTTTAGCCTGCCACTTTTGGACTCTCACTTGCTGAGGTGTTCCAGCAAGTGTCTCTGTAGATCTTAGAAAACTATTTCTTGATTTAAGTCGTTAGCGTGCTGGCTTATATCTAAACATGGGATGGGCCGGAGATGTCACTGCCTTGATCCTTTCACTATTGGTTGCTACTTCCCGGCATATGTTAGGTGGTGCAATACCGGCCAAACAGTGTAATTTCTCCAGTGGTGTAGGGTGCAGACACCTCGTGATAATGTGGCATGTCTCATTAAGAGCCACATCCACTGTTTTAGCATGGTGAGATGTAATGCAGTTAAGAAGGGATCTATTGAAAGGTGTCTTGATGAAAGCTGTTGTAGCTACAGTATTTTGGGAAGAAATCTAACACTAACGTCAAAACGGGGAAATTTGGGGAAAGTCAATGTTTTTGTTTGATGGGCAATGGAACAGCAAACCAGGCTGTAATAGATGGATGTGTTTAAATGTATATTTGTACTTTTTATCTTGAATGTTCTATATGCTTTAACAACAACAACAAATTTTATTTATTACCCACCTCTCTTGATGGCTCAAGGCAGGGTACAACAAATTTAAAAAACAAATGAACTTAAACACACAATAAATTACTGAATTTCATAGATTAAAATGTCACACATACACACAAATGAATATGAAAACTTACACAAAACACAGTTACAGAATACAATAGAATGCAAATCAAAACTCATGGTTGAAAGTTGACTGGGTAGGCCTGCCGGAAGACATGGGTCTTCAACTGCGTTTTAAATTTATAACTGTTTGTCATGCCCTTTCATAGCACAGTAAAATTAATTAATATGTGTGTGTGTGTGTGTGTGTCAATAGCAGTTGCTTTCAGGGTGCCATATAAATCTAATTAATAATGCAATATAAATCTAAACACTGTGCAGCTACAGACAATACCATGTTCAAACGAAAGAACATTGGAACTACAGAATGAAACCAGATTCAGTTGGCATTTTAAAAAGGTTAGGAAATATGTATCAAAAATATTTTAGTGCATACCAGGGCATAATAAGAAAGTATAACTGAAACTTCATACCAAAATTAGTTAGCAAACCCTTGTTTCCCATTAATATCTGTGGTTGTCACATTCAGAAGAAGCCAAGAACTTAACCTACTTTCAAAATGTGGTTTGAAAATGTACTTGTGTGAGCTGCAGATACACTGTCCAAAATTCTCTCTGCCCATTCCGATACCATCACGACTGTTCTGTTCTTAAGTGCTTGTTGGCAATGCAGTCCCAACTAAAAAATGATCTGCTTATGTGGATTGAGGATTCAGAAGAAGGCTATACACCAGGCATGGGCAAACTTTGACCCTCCAGATGTTTTGGACTTCAACTCCCACAATTCCTAACAAACAGTAGGCTGTTAGGAATTGTGGAAGTCCAAAAGACCTGGAGGCCAAAGTTCGCCCTTGCCTGCTATACACACAGAACAGAACTAGGTAGATGCTTGTTTCTGCTAGAAGAACACTATTATACCAGCTGCCTTCAGATATAGCAATCTACTATCAGCATTTCCTACTGTAAGAAAAGCTGAAAAGGAGGCGGAGATAAGGGAGGAATAAAGTTATGTCAGGCTATATTGTTTTAAGACAAATAATATTTAATACTGTTGTAATATTGTATATTTGCATATTTTAAACTGTAATGTTTTTAATATTAGCCACTTTGAATCTCCTTATGGAGATAATAATAATAATAATAATAATAATAATAATAATAATTTTAAAAACTATTTATAACCTGTCCTATCTTCCCTATCTCAGGGCAGTTTCCAACAAAAGATGGCAAACATTCAGTGCCATAATAAGCAATAGAGACAAACCAAACCAAACCAAAACAGTAAACAAACACATCAATATCAATTTATAGTAACTAGCCGAAAAGGTAAGTAATTAAATAGATGTGGAAAAAGTGGGATATAAATAAACATAAACATAAACAACAACAACAACAACAATATCATCTAGCCAGTGGCACAGTTATATTGCTGACACAGAGTTAGGCATCGGCAAGAGTGATCCTGGACAACAGCAAACATCACTAGTCTGAAAGGGATTTGGATTTAGCACAGCTTCAACTGGTCAAGTGTCAGATCAGCTAGACCTTAGCTATGATAACTTTGAGTTATCTATCACTGAATTAGATAAATAAACATTGTGATAAGCTATTGTTATCATGAATTCTTAGTAGCCAGTATTCTATCTAGCTCAGACATGGGCAAACTTTGGCCCTCCAGGTGTTTTGGACTTCAACTTCCACTATTCCTACCAGGCGGCTGTTAGAAATTGTGGAAATCAAAGTCCAAAACACCCGGAGGGCTGAAGTTTGCCCATGCCTGAGCTAGCTTGATATTTTCAACAGGAAGCCTAGCTAATAACTGTGTTTCTTAGGGAAAAATAATGTTCATGATCACAAGACGTGTTCAACAATGAAATATGCTGCCAAAGATTGTGGTGGAAGCTTTCTCTGGAGGTTTTTAAACAGAAGCTGGATGGCCATCTGTTGGGAGTGCTTTGATTGTGTGTACCTGCATGGCAGGGGCTTGGATTGGATAGCCCTGTGATGCCTTCCATCTCTATGTTTCAAAGAATTCTAAAATTTAACAAAAATGTCATCCATTTACTAATGAATACAGAGTTGTCTTTTCTGAACTAGAGGAATGTTGGATGTTTTTTGTATGCCAACTAAAGAAGTACAAAACCAATCTGTCTAGATTTCCTCTAGCTTACTAATTTCTCTGTGTGTTTTATTCATGTGGAAGTGTAATTTTCTCAAACATTTTCATCTTTTATTAGAAATATACTTTTTTTGATGAACCAAAGCGTGAAAAATATTATCGACATATGGAAGCAGTTGAGGCAGAAGAGTATGGCCAAACCCAAAAGTTATACGACTATGGAGAAAAGAATGTGATGGAGAAGCCTAAGAGCCCTCTTGCAAAAACCAAGTCTACAGAAAGCAAGAAATTAGAACCGTCTCTTAAGTGGAAAACTATGCCAGGATCCCGAGAGTATGTGATTCTTTTGCGTTTTTTGGACAGATAATACTAATTGACCTTAACAGTTTTAAGAAACTATTGTTGTTTTGCTACTTTAAAAAATGTAATTCATATTCCTATTCCCAATTAAAGCATAGTTACTGAATTCTTGGGATTTACCTAAGTGTTCATTTATCATTTAGCAATTGATTGAGTTGGTGTACTACTCTAGTTGGGACAAACAGTTGGATTATGTGTTTTAAAAGCACAATTTAAAAAACAGTGGGCAAGTGTCGTCGTGGACCTAATTTAAACCCTCGTGATTGCCCTTGATCCCTTCATGTGTCTTAGGCTTACCTTTTTCTGCCCTTCATCAAGATGAGTTTCCAAGAATATTGATTCCGCTTGTAAATAAGTGCATGGCACTGAATGCTGTTTAATATTTTTTAAAAATCAGTGTTTAAAAACCGGAAATGGACCTAGAACTACTTTGGAGTCATTATATCAGGAAGGAGATTGGACTGGATGGCCCTTGTGGTATCCTTCACATCTTTGATTCTATGTGTTGTAGTACAACTTGAGCTTGAGACTGATACGTTCAATGATGATTTAGAGAGGACTGTGGGATTTCCTGGGAAACAAAGTGATGAAGATTCAGGTCAGGGAAATGATGATTTTCTCAGGGAAAAACCTGACTCAGAAAGTGCAGGGCTTCAAGATCAGTCAGAGGAGCCAGAAACTACAACATTAGATAAGGAGCCTGATGAAGAACTAAGTGATATAGAAGACTACCAGGGAAAAACACCTGGAGCCACGGAGGTCAACAAAAGTCATTGCTTACAGATTAGAGGAGAAAATAGGTAGCGCCGGTCAGAGCGATTACAAGGGATAGTTGGGGATAAAATTCACGGGGGGAAAAATGACTTCATGGGTGCCTATTAATTAGCAAGTTGTTTATCCAGGACTTAGTTCAGGCAACGTAGCAATTGAGTCAGAAGCTAGGTCTAAGTTCTCTGGTTCGTGTTTCAAGTCAAGCCTTGGTTTTGGATTTAAGAATCCTGGAAGTTTTCTATGTTCTTGTTTTTGTATTCCTGCTCAAGTTTTACTGAGTATACCTTTTGCTTGTGGACTTATGCTGTACTTTTTTTGGCAGTTCCTGGACTATGTTAGCATGTGTTAAGACATTTACATTACTGTTTGATTATCACCTATTGCTAACCTTTTTTGGATTATCCATCTTCTTTCTTTATTTCTGATTTTCATACATTTTATGTGCTATTGTTTATACTCTGGACTCTTGTGTGGTGCTGTGGTCATAGGTGTTTCCAGGCCTGGGGTGCAACACTATGTCCCTATGATATTGGGCATTCCTGATATGCACAAGAGATCGTGGTTTTGTAGATATACACATGTTAAAAAATAGTTAAGTATATGTAAAGCTACACAACATAGATTGTGACATGGGATCTCAGTCAATATTATTTTCAACCTTTCAGCATAATGTGCCATGAATGAATATCTCATTGCCATGATTAATTTTAATAGATTGTGCACATATTATGATGTATGCACAGTAACAGTTAATTTCAAACAACAAAACTGATTATTTTTTCTAGGGAGAAGGCAGCAAAGAAAGAAAGGGAAGAAAAGGAAAGCAAACCTGCTCCTCCTGATGGCAAGAGAAAATCCGCTGCAACACCCGGTGGCTCAGTCAAAGGGTATATAATGATTTCTCCGACTCCCAGTTTTTCAGTGCAAACAGTATTTTAACTAAAATGCTTAGCAAACAGTAGAGCCATCTCATATGAGGAAAGTGAACTCCCACAACAGTATACTCCTGTGTGATTTTACTAAAGCTCTTATCAGCACCTGCTAGTATGGTCCTTGGCCATATTGTCTGCAGGATGGGACTTGTAGTTAACACATCTGGAGGGCATGGTGAGGTTGGAGCAGATCATTGTCAAATGACTATTGTTCTCAACTGGGAATTTTACTCAGTAGGTTTTGAAATGGAAAATTCCCCAGTTATTCCCACTCCTGTGCATGACCGAAGATAGAACTCCCAGGCTGAAAATGTAAACCTGTTGGATTATCTCATCCTTGCATCTGCTACCATTTTTCCAATCATTGTTTGAGAGAAGATAATTTCTTGGCTTATTGTACAAGTAACTTGGCTTTTAGTAGACATTTCCTTAGTTTTGATTTCCTAAGCAAGGGACAGGGACAGATCTTGTGTTTGGAAGGCTTTGCTCTTGAAATTTAAAAACTGCTTTCAGGAGAGCCTTTGTATTTTTTTATTCTCTCTTTTCCCATTTCTTTTATTTTGCAGAACTAAATTGGTATTATAATCTGAAACACAATTAAATATATTCATTCTAAACAATTTTCAATTCTGTCACAGGAGCCACGATGGCACAATGAGTTAAACCCTTGTGCTGGCTGAACTGCTGACATGAAGGTCGGTGGTTCGAATCCGCAAGATGGGGTGAGCTCCCATCTGTCAGCTCCAGCTTCCCATGCAGGGACATGAGAGAAGCCTCCGGGCGTCCCCTGGGCAACATCCTTGCAGATGGCCAATTCTCTCACTCCAGAAACAACTTGCGGTTTCTCAAGCCGCTTCTGACACAAAAAAAATGTTTTGTCACATCCTTTTGTGATTGTACTGCCTTTGTCTCAATACATGACTTTACACTCCCTAAAACCTGCCTCATGTGAGAAGACATCAATGGGTTATGTAGCTTAATATAATTTATATATTATATAATAAATATAATTTAGTTATTTAGAGAACCTTGCTAACTTGAATATAGAATGGATATGGCCTTCATGGAGAAATGTGTACAATATTTCCAATGCCAGTTTTATTATTAAAACTGCTAAAATTAGCTCAGTGACTAGGCAAAAGTAGATAGGATATGGAAGAAATTTAGAACATCTTTCCATAGTTTTTGTTTCCACTTTAACATTGCTTCTCTTGGCTTTGATTTACTTGGAGCAATATATTGGGAAGGGTGTTTTGCCAATTTACTGTAATCAGTTTGCTCACTGGAAATTGCTCTCCCTCACGGCTGTTTTCCCACATTTTGGGGAGGGGTACTTTATCCCTTTATCTTTTGCCAATCTGAAAGAACGTATGCTTAGGGAAATCTTCTTTGTCTATAGAAAAAAGAAAGGTTAGCCTCCCCATTCCCCTCCCCACAGCTCAATTAAAATTAGAACCTCATCTACCTGAGACGGCAAAACCTAGAAAACTTGGAGACTCCTATTTGTATTTCTTAAGAATAAGTCAGCATTACTTATGTAAGATTTCTACTTAACTGTGTTGAAGTGCACACCAGTACTGCCTGGTAGAGTGTGCTTTTTCGTTGCATTTATACACCTTATTCAAGTGTGAAATATCCAAGTTGTTTCAACATGCAAGTGGGAATTGAAGTTGCATGTTGCAGCTATGCTGTCTGATGTTTTAATATTGTTGTTTCTATTAGGTATCATCCCTGGACTGCACATGCAGGGCCGTAGCCAGAAAAAAAATTCGGGAGGGGTTGAAATTTTGGGGGGGGGTTTGAAAATTTCACGGGGTGGGGGGTGAGGTTGAAACCTGCCTCCTAGCTCACGCTGAAGCACACAGTAGGGGGCAGAGCAGCCTTCAATAGCCTGCAGCTCCGACCCTGTCAACCACCTCCACCAAGTCTGGCCTCCTTAATGTGAGCATTCAACACACACACACACAACTTGGTTGCTTCACTACATTGGCTATTGCTGCAAGTAATGACAGTGTGAATAAATTGTCAATATTTGCTTGAGATAGTGTTTGCAGTTCTGGAGGGACTCTTAATTTTTTGCATCTCATAGACTTAGCATGGGGATTTGGTTAACCAGTTAAAATTCATGAGTAAACCAGTTTTTTAAAAATCTGAAACATTTCGGGGGGGGGGTTGAACCCCTAACCCCCCCCCCCCCTCGCTACAGGCCTGTGCACATGTCTTTGTGTCATCAAGTTTCCAGTACTTAATGAGTAGCTAGTTGAGGATGTGAGAGCTGAACCATAAGGAAGGTTGGGTGAAGGAAGATAGACACTTTCGAGGACTCTCTTTGGCATTGCAAAAAAGAGATTGAGCTTGGCATTTTCAATATACTGGTGATACCCAGCCCCAAAGTCCCGGGTGATCTCTCTCACCTGCTCTTTCATTCAACCCATTTTTGTCACTTGCCTTAATCATTTCTAGATAGATGTAATTTTAATGTATGTTTATCTAGGAAATCTTCATTAAAGCCGGAAGATGAAGTTGAAAGTTCTTCAGAAAGTGAAGAAGATGAAGAACAACCAGATCGCCACCAGGAAATCAATACAGACTTGCCTTCCGAATACTGGCAAATTCAAAAATTAGTGAAATATATAAAGGTAAACATTTTTTTTACTTTTTAAAAGAAGACCATTGTTTTCTTTAATTAGTTTATAATACTTAATTACTGACTCTCTTTTGTCTCTTACTTTTAAATTAATTCGCATTTCAATTTTTTTTTTGCAAACTAAACTTTTAGTGGCGACTGGAGGAGCCCTGACCCTAACCTTGATCCAGGTTTTAGTCCAAATTTTAAAAGACTTACTCAAAGTGCCAAAACATTAGTGGACTACCCCATACCTATTTCCCACTCACTGGGACCTCCATCAGTCTCTCCTCCACTGGAAGGCTGTTTCGTGGCTTCAGAAAGTATGAGTCTCCAATGGTGCCTTCTTGGGGCACAACTGTCCATTTTTAGATATATATTATTTCAATGGCAAAGGCTTGGGGACGCTAGGAAACCCCCGTGGAGCTTAATGAGCTGCACAATTCCAACCCTTGCTTTATAGGGTGAGTGAAAAATAGGGCTTTATGCCTTTTGGAATAAGATCTCAACCAGACTGAGAGAAGTTTAGATCTCTGATTTGAACCACTGAAAATGCAAATAAGCGAAGCTAGAGTTGTTTGATGCACTAATGAGTATTTAGGAAGCAGCAGCATTTTCTTTTGAAGTTTAACATGGAGCTTTGGCCTTTTGCCCAGTGAGCTATGCATTGTCTATGCTAAGAAAACAGACGAATAAAAGTATTGTACGCTTACTAAGAATCAGATAACTGTTTGCTGGAAAGTTAGTTGGCGAATTATACTATGTTGGCAAACAGCAATCTGAGGTTATACAAAGTTTTGTGCAGAAATGAAACATCAGAGAAAAAACAAAATTATGAGACCCAGTTACAATTTATCCTTCTGAAATAATTTTGGATGCCTTTTCTCCCCTGTGCTGATATTATTTAGTTTTTATAACAAAACAAAACACAAAACCCTCCAGCCACCAAAACAGGAGGAATTTTGATTAAAACGGCTTCTTGTTCAAAAGATTAGTTCCAAATTAGTGTGACTAGACTTGGGTTTATTTATAATACGTGTCAGTTTATATCTTGCACAGTTTATCCAGAAATGATGCCCCCTCCCCTTTTTAATGAACAGCCACTGGGTGTATAGCAATTTAAGGCTGTGGTGGGATTTACTTCTGAGTAAACATAGTTAGGATTGCATTGTAAATGTGGTGTACTTCTAATATTGCTGGAAGATGTACGTAGTTTCAAAACCTGTTTTTAATCAAATTGTGGTGGAAGATCTGAGTGAATGTCACAACAGGATGAATGACAGTTACTCCCAGTTTAAAATTTAATTATGATTAGAGCATGCCAAAATAGGAATGATAAACTAATATCCATTACATTTTAAACACAAACAATAACAATGGCTGTGGGTTTCGTTTGCTGAGGCAAAAAGTTATGGGTTTTTGAAACGTTTTTGTTTAGAATTGTAGGATTCTGGAATGGGGTGATGATTGAAATCCTAATAGGAAAATTTATATCAAGCTCTACAAATTGGATCCCATCCAGATCGGACAAATCTGAGAGTTACAAAGGCATCTAGTTTAGGGAATGCTGATTTATATAGTGTGTTTTTCGTTTTAACAAAAAAAAAAGGAAGAAAAAGTGTTATGGGGTATCACTTGTCTTTACTGTCCATTTCTGCTACTGTTCCTTTAGAATAATGCAATCAAGAGGGGTCCTTGATTCCTATCCAGACATTTTCATTAAGATGGGATCAACAGGCATGTTTTCCATCTGAGACTCTTGAGGCTGATGGGTTCACTGATGATTTAGAGAGGATTGTGGGATTGCCTGTGGGATTTTCTGGGGCTTGAAGTGATGATGATATTAGCCAGTGGAATTATGCCTCTTTGTGAAAGACCTGACTCTAAAAGTGCAGGGCTTCAAGGTCAGTCAGAGGAGCCAGAAGCTACAACATTAGATAAGGAGTCAAGCAAAGACCTAAGTGATACAGAAGGCTCTCATGCGAAACACCTGGAGCTATGGAGATCAACAAAAGTCTCCCATTTACAGTTCAGAGCAGAAAATAGACATCACCTGTCAGAGCGATTACATGGGAAAGTGGGGGATAAAATTCATGGAAAAAGGCATGACTTCATGGGTGCCTATTAAATAGCAAATTGTATACCTAAGAGTTAGTTCAGTCAACGTAATGTTCGAGTGAGAATCTAGGTCTGAGTTCTCTGGTTCTTGTTTCAAGTCAAGTCTTGGTTTTTGATTTAAGTATCCTGGAAGTTTTCTATGTCCTTTTTTATATATATATATTTGTGCTCAAGTTTTACTTAATATACCTATTGCTTCTGTATTTAAGCTGTTATGGTGACTTTGGGCTATTCCTGGACAGTGTTAACTTTGAATCTGTTAAATCCATTTGGATTCCTGTTTGATGATTTTTTTTCCCCCAATACTTTTAATGTGTTTTTACAATAAACTGTTTGCTTGTATTCTGGACTCTTATGTGGTGCTATGGTCATAGGTGTTCTCAGGCCTGGGATGTAACAGCCTGCACCTATTCTTGTTGTACAGTTGAAAAATTTCAAAACAAGGCTTAAGATTTAATCACTTGCCTGCAGATCATCAAATATTACCAATTTTCTCAAATTTGGCATGGCTCTTCCATAGAGTTGGGGCCCATATACCGGAGTTACAATGTCAGGTGGAAAGTATCAACCTCATGGAACTGCATTTGTTTGTACCTCTGAAAATGAAAGCAAATATGGAAATACACAGTGTAATATCACTTGGTTAATATTTTAATCTCAACAAGAGTAAAAATAATATACATTTTGGTAAAAGCAAATATGTTACACACTGTATCAATTTTGTAGCTGTTGTTACAAAAACCAAAAGAATGTATTATGCTTTCTGGGGGAAAATGAGCATCCCTGATTTATTTCAGTATATTATCTGTGAATTGCCTATATGGAAATGCCAAAGAGGAATTTCTATTAAATAGTATGGCACATTATCTCCTATTGTTTGTCTGGAAGAGTAGAAGGAGCAGTAGACTTGGTCTGTACAGATAAGACATAGGTAATTAATACCAGAACCCTTCTGCAAGAATATGACAAGCATATAACAAAATATAAACTAGTATTAGGCTGTGATTAAAACATTTTCTGATAACACACACAGGGTACTGTTATTATGCTGTTTTTCTATATGGAGCACTGTTATTGAGATATGCTTGTCAATTTTGGAGAATTGTTTACATTATGGCCATCTGTCAGGGGTGCTTTGAATGCAGTTTTTCTCCTTTTTGGCAGGGGGTTGGACTGGATGGCCCACGAGGTATCTTCCAACTCTATGATTCTATGTTATGGTACTTCTCAGTTGGCCTGTATTCACACAAGCAGCCTCCTCCCTGGGTGACCGTTTTTAATGTAACCATATGGGTTTGTTTATTGACAAAATAGTGTTGGTATGCAGTGTCATGGGCCCAGAACACATCGGTTGAGGATATATGGGAATACAAAAAGATGATGAGAGATGATGAGGAAACCCTGGACACCAGAACCCTGTCCTCTGTTTCTAGATTATCACTGAGGAATTGGCCCATTGGTTTACTCCCTAGGAACAGCCATAGGTTCATAATAAACCACGTTGCTTTGAATGCCAAAGCTCAGCCCCCCGTGTTTCAGGAAAAAACCCTTTCCAGAAGCCTTGGAGACCCAATGCCAGTCAGTTTTGAAAATATGATTCCGGATGGACCCAATGGTTTAAGACAGTGTACAATGGAACTCTGTATTCTTGTGCACCTTCTTAAAGTCAGGGACTGGAAAAAGCTTACCCTGAAACATTTCTTGGCCACTGCTTTACACAAGAATTAGAAAATTAATCTAAAAGGGTTGATGGAACATAATTTCCTATTCCTCCAGGTCTTTCACGAGCTCTTCTCACATAGTGCATACACACTATTTTCCATAAACACACAAATACAGGCTTTACCTAGAATAGAGCAGCCTCAAGTATATCAATATGAAGAAGTTTCTATTGTTTCTCTGTTCTGAAAGACTAGGAGAAACAAGAAATACAATTTTAATAATTATATAGACTATAAACCACTCCATATCAATATTCCAAGAAGATCAGAAATTAGGGAGCATTGCTATTTGAACGTAGAAAGCAAAAAATGCTGCTTTATTTATTATATCAGAAGAGAACCAAGGGTACAGTTGTCATGTATTTAAAGGACAAAGTTTATAAAACTTGGAATTATACTAAATTTCCTTTGACCAGTAGCTGGCCACTTGGAGTGCCTCTGGAGTTGCTATAAGAAGGCTTTCCGTTGTGCATGTGGCAGGGCTCAGCTGCATTGTAATAGGTGGTCTGTGGTTTGCTCTTCTCTACACTCGCATGTCATGGACTCCACTTTGTGGTCCCATTTCTTAAGATTGGTTCTGCATCTCATGGTGCTAGAGCGCAGTCTGTTCAGTGCCAAGTCACCCAGTCTTCAACTTAAAGCCATGGGCAAAATGTTTTCAAGTACCCCATGTACTATATACTATGATTCCTAATCCATCTAAAACATAGATGTGTGCTTTTCACCTTAAGAACAGACAGGTTTTGGCCAGTAGCTTGCCACTTGGAGTGCCTCTGCAGTAAGAAGGTCCTTCATTGTGCATATGGCATGGCTCAGACTGCATTGTAATAGGTAGTCTGTGATTTGCTCTTCTCCACACTCGCATGTCATGGACTCCACTTTGTGGCCCAATTTCTTAAGGTTGGCTCTGCATCTCGTGGTGCCAGAGCGCAGTCTGTTCAGTGCCTTCCAAGTCACCCAGTCTTCTGTGTGCCCAGGGGGGAGTCTGTCATCCAGTATCAGCCATGGCTTGAGATTCCAGGTTTTAGTCTGCCACTTTTGGACACTCACTTGCTGAGGCGTTCTTTCACGTATCTTGAAAGTATGCGTGCTGGCTGATATCCAAACAGGGAATGGGCCAGAAATGTCAATGTCGTGGTCCTTTGATTATTGGATGCTACTTTCCAGCACATGT